GCTGCAAGCCTACCCAAGAAATGGCCCATTATGACTCTGATCCAGACTGAAATCACCTTATCCCCCTGTTATTGGACAGAATCTGCCCACATCAGCTTAGATGACTTCACACTTTCTGTAGTTCCTCCTCTTCCACCATCCTTCCTCCTCCACCTCCTTATAACTGAAAAAACCGCCACCGCCGGAGCACCAGCCAACCGCCGCAGCATCATCATCACATATAGCCATGGCTGCTATAGCTGCAACAGCAATTGGGTCATCATCGTTCTCTCCAGCCATCCACACCCGTAAATGCGTGCGCTTCAAGAACTTGGCAGTTGATCATTCCCTCATCAGAGTCCCATCGACTCGCTTGATGCCTTCTCTATCTCACTCTTACTCTGTTCACGAGCCTCTTTCTCTTGGGGGGACCACGCCGAGGTGGCGCGTGCTGAAGGTCTCAGCTGAAGTTGCGCAGGAGGAGGTGGCAGTAGCCGCACCTGATGAAGCAGGAGTGGTGGAGGAAGAGGAGAAGGGAGGAGAGCAGGTGAGAGGAGACGGAGAAGCTGAAGCTGAAGCTGAGACCCATGAGTCCCCTGTTAATACCAAGCTGTACTTTGGAAATCTGCCATATAGTGTGGACAGTGCTCAGCTTGCTGGGATAATACAAGAATATGGCAGTCCAGAGCTTGTTGAGGTATGTAGATCAAGTGTTTGTGAAATTTCCTAGCTTGATTGTTGTTTAAATTCCAGACATAAATGGTTGTATGACTTGTATTCATGTAGATTGTTTATTATATTATTTATATATCAATTCGTTGTAGCACTTTTCTCATAATGATACGTGATTAGGTTTAGATACATGTAAGACTGGCATTGATAGTCATGAGCTCCAAAAATATAAAATCACATAATAAATTACCTTAATTAATTTTTTTTTTCTTATTATTCAAACTTAGAAGTTGAAAGTCCTTGTACAGGGAATTACTTTAGTAGAAGGAAAACTGATCCCCTCCTACTTTAAGAGTTAAGAGATATTGTAGAAATTTGTTATTGAGCTTATTCATAATGCTTTTTCAGGTCTGTTTTTCTCTCCTTTTTCATTGCTAAGTTTCCTTTCTTGCTCATATGCTGCTTTCTAGAGTTCCTTTGATGTTTAATCCCCACTTCAAAATGAAAAATTAAGAGAAGGTATCCTAAATGAGTAAGCCTTTTTGCATATAATATTTTGTTTTACCAAGATATCAGTACTTGTATGCTTTGTTTTCACACTATAACTTCCCTTGATTGCTTAATCAATTATGACATGTTACACAATTCTTCTTTTATATAATCTTGGATAATTGGTTTAAAAATTTTCAATGGTTTTAGGTTCTCTATGAAAGAGAAAGTGGAAGAAACCGGGGGTTTGCATTTGTGACAATGAGTAGCATTGAGGATTGTAATGCAGTAATCCAAAATCTGGATGGAAGTGTAAATCTCTTTCTTCCCCTTTTGTGTGTCTAATGTCCATGTCTGTCTGTCTGTCTGTCTGCATGTTGGCATGATTTCTTTTCTCCTTGGAGAAAATATACAGATATCGATCTGAATGGTTTTGCTTGGAGTCTTATTACTCAAATTAGTCCACTCTTTCAGGAATACTTGGGTCGAATTCTGAGAGTTAACTTCTCAGACAAGCCCAAACCAAAACAACCATTGTATCCAGAGACTGAGCACAAACTATTTATTGGGAACTTATCTTGGTCTGTCACATCTGAAAGTTTGACTCAAGCTTTTCAAGAATATGGAAATGTAGTTGGAGCAAGGGTTATATACGATGGAAAGACTGGGAGATCACGAGGTTATGGTTTCGTCTGCTACTCAACAAAATCAGAAATGGAAGCTGCACTTCAATCTCTTGATGGAGTGGTATTAATTCCTCCCCTTTCTTGTTCTGTATTTACACACTCTTAGCAACACACACGTTTGGGAAAGTACTTAGCAGACCTATAATACTGTCATTTTTCATTTTTGGTAATGTTAGGAACTTGAGGGACGAGCAATTCGTGTAAGCTTGGCACAAGGAAGAAAATCTTAAGATGATATAGCCAAAGTGTACAAAATTTGACAAGCACTGAAGGTAAATGTCAAAGTCATAGAAGAGATGGAAGGACAAAGATATGTGCATAGCCTAGATGTGCAGTCACCGATCCCTTTCAATTTTCTGTCTATAATTCATTTACCTTCAACTACTTCGGTGTGGGAATTGTGACAATTTCTCTAGCACCTTTGGTAATATTGATAGTTTCTCTGGTACCTCTGGTAATATTGATAGCATGGAAGGCCTATAAGGAGACCTGAGAGAATATCAGGCCCTATGGCAAGGAAGGGTTGTCTCAAAGGCTAAGGCTGTTGCGTGCAGCCTGTCGTTTTATGAAATTCACTCTCATCTACATCTGTAGTCATCTTTTTGAACCAATTGAAAGCAAGACCCTAGACTGAAAAAGGGGGAAATAAGAGGATAATCAGAAATTGAGCATTGCTAATTATTCCTAGTTTGGAAGCATGTCTCTACTATGTTTTAACTTTTCTTGGGATTAAAATGGTCATTAGATCCTAAATGTTCTTCCATTAATGGGAGACCGAGACACAATTGTTTGAATCTTGATATGGTACTCCAATCCATGATTTTCAGTTTTCTAAATGTCCACAAGAAGTCAATCACTATATACAATGCGAACTCATCATATATAGCTTTGCATTTAAGTCTGAGATTTCTGTGGGATATCCCATTGTTAAGAAAAAAACATAGATTTTTTGTGGGTAATAAGGAAAAAACCTACGTCACAAAATGCTATCGATTCGCAATATTTACACGAATTCTCTGAGATGGGGGAATTGGTAATTGAGTCATGGTCATATTATCACCCAAAAGACTGTTGGATTGTTGGTTTACGTAGTAAAAGTTTCGCTTTCTTAAATAAAAATTTAAGTTTAAATTTTGTAAATAGAAAAATAAATATTAAGATTATGAAGTCTAATTTTATTCGAAATTGAATCAATTAAGATCTAATATGATTTATACCTAAAAACAAAGAATACTATTAACATTTTAAGATGAATACTGTAGTAATACTTTGGGTGTGCTAATTATACTTAAATTTCAAGACTTTGATTTTTATATTTTGTAATTTAAACTATATTATAATATAAAATATCAATTATTGAATATGGAGATTTGCTCTCACAATTAAGTTCTATCATCTAATGATTAGTGTTTTTGCAGTCTCACTTCAAAACTTTTTTTTTTTTTGGTCAATCATGTATGCTATGATCTAATTTTATTTTTTTCTTCATTTTCTTGTACATTTTCTTTGATATATTTGGGTAAAAGACAAAAACGAAAAACGAAAAACGAAAAACGAAAAACGAAAAACTTCAGAGCCCCATGCAAGGAAAGGAATGGAGAGACAACCACCATGCGCAAGATAGCAGCTACCCATTAAGGGAAAAAAAAGGTTTATTTTTTAAAATTAATTAAAAAAAGAAAGAAAGAAAGAAAGAAAGAAAGAAAGAAGAAAAAAAAAATGGATCTTTTTGTTTTTAATTACAGGATACAGTGACGGCAAGCCCAAAAAAATCCCTATTAACGCCAACCGAAAACAAAAACCCAAAATCACAGCAGCAGCAAAAAACCAGTGGAGAAGATCTTCCCTCAAATCTATCTCTGCGTAGGTACCTTCTCCATCTCCTTCCTCTTCCTATCCAAGAACCCTTTTTGGGATTTCTCCATCTATGTATTAACATATTTGGGTTTGATTTTATTTGCATAATATATATGGGTTTCTATTCAGAATGTGGGGTTTCGGTGGTGTTGCAGATTTTGAGGGCATTGGTGGATCCATCTGAAAGGTTTTTAATTGGTGGGGTTTAAGTGGAGGGTTTTGGTAATGGCTTCTACCTTTCCAATTCCTGTTTCTGCTGCTCAGGTTCTCTTTCTCAGTCTCTCTTTATCACTTGGTTTGTTTTTGTGAATATTTTTTCAGAGTGTAGAGTGAGAATGAAGAGAAAATTAAATGGTTGTTTTGTTTTTTTGTGGTGTGGGTTTTAGGTGGGGACGTACTTTGTGCATCAGTACTATCATGTATTGCTGAAGCAGCCGGACTATGTTCATGAGTTCTACAGTAATGAAAGCACCATTCTTCATATTGATGGCAACATCAGGAAGACAGCCACTGAAATGATTGTAATTTGCTATCCCATTTTTTCTCTCTGTTTATTTGTAAGGTTTTTATGAATATTCTGATTTCTTTCCCTGAAATTTAATTTTTCATGTGGTTATTAATTGGTAGGAGCAGAAGGTTTAAAAGGAGAAATACATGGAAATCTTCTTTAATGGCATTTAAGTTGAGTGCATATTAAGGATTATCCCCTGGTTCATAATTAGCCTTGAATTTTACCCGAGATGATGGTTTAAGTCTAAGGATCACTCATCATTGCATTTGGATTAGGTTTAGCATGAAAATTCAAAACTTTACGATTCTCTGAAATCGCCGTATAAGGCAATGCTATTTTCCTTGTAATTATGTTGTTTTTTTGTGTTATTACGTCTTGGTGTGGACAACATGTTTGCTTGGCTACTTGATACGTATGCTTGCTTTGTAATCCTGTTATGCTTTTCTTTTTGGAAAAATATAAAAAAATCCTGTTATGCTTTGTGAAAATTTTTCCCATGAAACTGAGCACTTTCATTCGTGGTTCTGTTTTCTCCATTGTGATACATGCCTCTATTGTCTGTGCATATGTTAAATAAATGGAGCTAGTAACTTATTCTTTTTACTCGCCCTTTTCCTCAATTGACAGGAAATCCATAAACTCATTATGTCGCTCAATTTTACTGGAATCGAAATCAAGACTGCACATTTCCTTGAATCTTTGAATGGAGGTGTTCTGGTAATGGTTTCTGGTTCTGTGCAAGTAGAGGATTTTAGTGGCAGGAGGAAATTTGTGCAAACATTTTTCCTGGCACCTCAGAAGAAAGGCTACTTTGTTCTGAATGACATTTTCCAATTCATTGATGAGGAACTAATTTACCACCATTCAGCAGTCTTGTTATCCCGGAATAACCCTGATTCCAAACTCAATGCTTCTGCTTCAATTCCAGAACGAGGTACTTTTTGATGTAGTCTAAGTTATCATGATTTGGGAATCTCCTTGTCACTTGGCCTGAATATTTGCCTCTAATGAAGGGGGAAGAAAGGAATTACGTAACAGATCAGTGCATTTTCATGGAAGTGAGTTTGATTATATCATATGATTAGCAGTGCTTTGAAAGAGTTTTGATCATCAAAGAGAATTTCATTTTATATCAGTGAAATTGGGTTAATAATAATATTGGCTCATCTAGAGGAGATATTTCTCGTATAGCCTTGGTTTGTTTGGAATCATGAACTAGCAATGAAAGACATTTCATGAGTGCAATGTGATTCTAAAATATCTAAACTTCTATTGGAAGATTTAGTCAATCAATTTTGTAATATTAAAGCATATTTATAGCTTTTACTTGTTACTCTGTGCTTTGCCACATTTTTAAGCCCAATAGGCTTGCATATTTTCCATTGGAGATTAAAATTCTTGTCACCTATCAATTTAAGTTTTTAGGTAGAGATTTTTTTTTTTTTTTTAATAAAAATGAAGCTTTTGTAGTGTCCAACTATTTTGGTGGAGATATCCAGGGAAGAGAGTATGTTGCTCCTGTTGATGTCAATAAAAATGGTACTCTTGACAGCTACAGTTTTCCAGAGCAACAGTTGCAGCAAGCCCCTGAGTCACAGAACTTTCTGCAGAACAGTTATGCAGAAGAGTCAAATGGTTCACTTCAAAATATGGTGAATGCTGCACAAGACTACCTCCTTGCTTCTGTTGAGGAACCTGTTGGAGAACCTCAAAAGCACACCTATGCCTCTATTGTATGCACTACACATGACATTTATAATTAATGGTTTGATACATCCATATCTGGTTTTGTGACTGTAGGTTATATAGTTTATGCATGTATATTGGATGATAAACTTGAGTGTATCTTTATGACTTATTTCTTTGGCTTTTTTGCTTGGTTGTTGAAGTTGCGGGTTTCTAAGGGACAATCTGCTCCATCAGCCTCATCCCAGCTTTCTGTCGGCAAGGCTGCACCAGCTGCTTCTGACTGGAACATGGTTCCACAGCCCACTGCTGAGCAGCCTGTTGTCTCCACAAATCCAGATGAGAGGTCTGGGACCATTGTGACTGAGGAAGTTTCTCCTGTAGAAGATGAAGGTAAAGCCTGATGCATTTACTATCAGCTTAAAGGTTTTAATCTAGTGCAATTTTTGGTTTCTTGGATTGACCATAATCTAGGGCAAATGATGTATGTGAACCTAAAAGTTTAATACAAGTCAGTGAGAACTTTATCACAATATTTTGGCCTGATATCAATACAAGCATTTCACACATACACATATTGGAAAAGGCTAAAGGCAAGCCCTTTCCATTGATAAAAAATAAAGCATTTCATATGTTAATTGGAGCATCCTCATTGATTTTTAGTTCTCTTTCTACATCCGTCTTTTTAGGTGAGATAAAGTCTGTTTATGTGAGGAACTTGCCCTCTAATGTGTCTGAATACGAAATTGAGGAGGAATTTAAGAAATTTGGTGAAATCAGTCTTGATGGAGTGGCCATTCGCAGTCGCAAGGTTAATTTCCTTGGATTTTCTTTTATTTGTGTTAAATAACATCTGCGAGTGTTTTTGTGCTAAATAGTTAAGTAATTTCCTTATTGCGCAGGATGTTGGTGTTTGCTATGCATTTGTTGAATTTGAAGACATGACAGGCGTCCATAATGCAGTGAAGGTGTGAACATACTTTCAAATCTAAATACAAACTCTCATTCTTTGCCTACTTAAAAGGCTTGAGTAGTGTCCCAGGTGAAAACTGAAGATTTTTTTTTAAAATTAAACTGTTTATAGATGGCACATGTTGCAGTTGAAGTGTATTCTTAGGTGATAAATGGCAGGAACGTTAATAGTCAAAAATCTGGAGGCACTTGGTAGTCCTTCACATGGATCATCAATTATTTTAACAATTCCTCCCTGTTTCTGATTGGTCATTTCATCAAAAGTTTTACATGCTTTTTTATTACTTTTCCTTTCTTCTGATTGTTTCGGTTTTATCAGTTCAATGCTACCAAATATGCAAATATGCTTGCAAACATGATTTCTGGACTTCACAATAGTCACTTCCCTCAATATATATATATTTTTATTAATGTTAATATTTTAATTAAAATTTATGTTTATAGAAGTTCTTGGTAGATTCTGTGTGCTGATTTGGCTTTTATTTTTTATTTATATACATGCAGACTGGAACAGCAGTGGTTGCTGGAAGACAAGTATTCATTGAAGAGAGGAGACCGAATAGCTACATTCCATCTCGAGGAGGAAGTAAGCAGTTCTTTTCTCTTGAAGTACTTTACAGAACTTCTTGTAGTTTCCCCCAATCTCTTAATGCTGAATGGATCAGTCACATTATGTGATAGCAATTCAGTTTGATATTGTGAAATACTGGGTGCAGCAACTATCAAACTGATGTAACATCATGAAACAGCAAAAGAAGAGTCTCTCTGTTTTGCTTTTAACTGTATTGCAGGGGAGGCTACTCGTTTTCCATATCCAATGATTTGAAATGTTGTGAACAGGAGGGAGGGGTCGAGGCCGCAGCAGCTATCAAATGGATGCTCCAAGGGGACGGTTTGGTGGTCGAAGCTATAGCAGGGGAGGTGGTGGCTATGATGCAGGTGATCATGACTACAACAGATCTAGGGGAAATGGTTTCTACAGGCCAAGTCCGCGCCAAGACAGAGGATACTCAGGTCACCAAGCATCCAGATCTGGACAAGATTCAGACTTTTAGACCTTAATGAAGAAAAAGATCAAAATTTTGGTTCCAGATATCACTTACCCAACATATTCATATTTCTAGATTCAATAATCATTATGGTGTTTTAGCAGCTACTTTGAATCAGAACCTGTTTGGCATATAAATTATATTATTCTTTGAAGGGATGCTTCTGTTCTTTTTACTGGATAACCTTTTAATCTGAAAGGCAATACACTTGAAATTTATAGTTCATCTTCAGTTTTCGCAGAAGGCTTGCCTCTTCTCTGAATTATTGAACTTCATGGCTTGGATTGAATTTTCAGTATATCAAAGTTGCCCCTTGGTTCAACAAGAATGAGAATTTATTCTTTTCCTTTTTCCAGCTTAGTTATTATTATTATTTTTAGCATTCTTTGCTAGCTACTTACAAAGCCATTTCTATGCCACGGAAATAGACTGGTAACACCTCAAAAAACCTGTTTCTAACAGATTGCCACCAATTCTTCCTATGCATGATGTCCTTCACACCAAATATCAGGAGGCTGATAGCTCTGTGGTTGCAGTTACCGCAGCTTCATGTGAAACAGAGACATGAGTTTGATCCTGCTTTGTACTGTCTTCTTCATCTTCTTCGGTTTCCCAGAGGAAACTAGCATAAGCTGCAAGAACATCGCTGCAAAGAAAAAAACAGTAGAATAGAGATTCATCAGAATGAGCATTTCTTTGTGGACGATGTGTTTCTCAGGTCAGTCAAGAGCGCTGAAATGTTCAAATTTGTAAAAATATAGAGAATATATTCCAACTTGGAAAATCACTGGAAACTAGTTAGCAACTACCAGGACTTGACCTTGATTTCGCAATGCAATCTTCTCTATTTACCAAAATAAATAAATAAATAAAGGACATAAATTTAGAAATAGTCCTTGCATCTCTCTATCAACTGGAAGCTACACGCTTATACGCTCAGAACTTACCATGAAAAACCAAATTTGATTAAAAATTAAATATGGAAACATAGAGAAAATACCTATTTTGAGGAGTAGCCTGAACTGCTCGTTCAAAGTAAGACAAGGCCTTATCATGGTTATGATGAAGTTCCCACACCAGTTTCGCATATTCTGACATGATTTCTCCATCATTAGGGTCAGCTAGTATGGCTTGTGAGTAATGTTCCTCGGCTCCTTGCAAATCTCCCTTTGACTGCCAATTAAACATGGGATATAAGTCAGATACACAGAAAACTGGGATATATTTATCAGGAACAATAGTAAAAAGACAACATAAGACGCTTCACCTTATGTAAGAAACGAGCATAATTTCTTAGAATCAAAGGGTTGTTAGGATTTTGCTTAACCATATTCCTATAATAATCTTCAATGTTGACATCCTGGCTTATGTCAGCTGCTGTATGTTTATCCGGATCATGAGCTCTAAGGCTAGAGAGATCAGGAAGGTGTAACGATAGGGTATCTGGTTCAGTTTCTTCTTGATGAGTTGAGTTCTTTGACAAACTTACACTTTCCTGCGCATTAGCCTGGGATAAAAATAAAGGGCATCAGACCCTTTCAAACAGCATTTTTTCCCTCTAAGCATTTACAAGAGAAGGAAAATAACTACTCAATTGGAGAAGTACCACCTCAAGCCACCCTTCGTTTGCTTTATCTTCTTCTCCTTCATCATCTATTTCCCAGAGGAAACTGGCATATGCTGCATGGACATTACTGAAAAGAAAAAGCGTATAAGCAATGAAATTTTAACTTCTGAACTCGTAAAAATGTGGTTGTCAAGTTTGAGTTGCGGCATCCAATCTTCTTTTCTTATCCACCAAAATTTTTCAAGAAACCAAATTAATAAGGATTAGAGACGAATTTCCACCTTTCAAAATGCAAAACATAAAATATTATATCTTAGAGAAGTCTAAGTATTAACCTATCTCCTGGAGAAGCTTGAACTGCACTTTCAAAGTAACTCAGTGCTTTATCTTTGTCGTGGTGGCATTCCCATACCAGTTTGGCATACTGTGACAGAATTTCACCATCATCTGGATCTGCTAGAGTAGCACGATGATAATAGTCCTCTGCTCCACTAAGATCTCCCTTAGACTGTCAAAAGGATTTTGAATTGCAATTCATTAGAATGATAATTGTGTTTTTCTTTTATTTTAACAAAAAACTTTGTTGCACAGATTATGCACTTTGAAAAATATCCTGGTTATTAACCCAAGCAAGAGCATAAGTCTATAGGATGCACAGCAATGTTAGGCCTAATTCCTGAATCTAAAACTCAAAAAGCACCCACTTGGGGATAGTCTAAGAAACACAGTGGGTTAATGTACTATCTAGGCTTATTCAATGTGGACATGAGGCATCATCTTGCCCAGCCTGGCCAAGACATGTTCCCATTAGCACTCCCAAGTCTCAACAGCCATGATGTGTATTGAAACCTGATATCCTCTCCGAGCCTGCACCAGGCCTTATCCCCAACATCATGGGTGAAGGGTGCAAGGGAGAAATTCACCTTAAAGACACTCCCCTAGGTATAACCTCACTCTCTCTCTCTGTCTCTCATGCACACATGAACAACTCCAAATTCTCCTCTCCATAAACCCCACAATCCTCTCTTTTCCTCCTCCATACAGTAAGTCAAAGAATCAGAGAGCCTCTACAAGAGATACATTCTGGTTCCCCTCGCACATTTCTCTTTCTTGCAGGTTCAAAAAGAAGCCCAATTCAATTTTACCTAACAATTATAGACCATTCACTAGAATGACTTCAAATTCATTAGACAGATCATGAAACAGATTTCTAGTGCATGGATCTCTAAGTTCAAACATCAGAAATAGTATGGTAAAAGGAACTAAATTCAACGTGGTGGAAAAGGCAAAAGAACACAATCAGTCTCACCTGTAGGAGTTGTGCATAATTTCTTAGAAACAGAGGGTGACAGGGGTACTCATCAACCAACCTCTTATAAAGCTCTTCAGGATCACCGCCATCAATTAAGTTTATTGAACTCAAATCAACACAATCACCTTCAAATCCAACCCCGTCAAATGCATCAATTCCAAAACCAGTAGCAAGATACTTGGGAGGACTAAGGGGTTCAACTCTTGGCTCAATATCAGCATTCTGAATTAGACTAAATCCTTCTTCTTCCTCCTCTCCTTCCTCAATCAATCCCATTCCCTTTTTCTTCCCAATACTAAACCCATCACTTCCTACAGCTTCTATACTCTCCTCAATAGTTACAGCTCTCCCTGTCACACCTTCTCTCACCGCATCTTCCCGGCCATCCTTATCTCCATCTTCCAACCCTTCAGTAAATATAGAAAAAGATGGTGCTGAATGCAACATGGTCCCAGGGTTTTCACGCAACAATTCCTTCTGGGGACTTGAATCAAACAGCTGGGCTACATCAAAAGAACCATAAGCTGGTAATCCTTCCAAGTCCCCATCCGACCGATACCTTGAAAACCCTTTAATGCTAAACTCAGCAAGTTCCTGATTAGACCCAGAACACCCAGAAGCTGAAGCAGAGATTAGAGAGGAAGTGGATGAAAATGGAGTCAAGTTGAGGCGGTGGAGGGCATTACAGAACCTTGGTTTGATGGGATGCAGATAATTACCAAGCGGTGGTGTGTGTTTGTTTATGGGTTGATCAAGATGATCTGATAAAAACGTGAGGGTTCCAAGAACCGGGCATGATGAGCTCCTTTAAAGCAATCTTCTTAGATGCAGAGGTCATGGAATTATGTGCCTACCATGTGGCAGTGGAAGGAAATACTACTAAAAAACAAAGCAGATCAAATCTAATTCAATCAACTCCCATATCTGGAGTCGTGTAGGTTGTATGTAGTTTGAAATCGTTGATCTTTTGATTACTACACTCTACTTTAAATAGAGGTAGAAGAACTAGAAGCAACAAGATACTTGCGACTCTTATCCAAGTAAAGGAGTTTTGCTGTCACATGTAGATTTTACAAAGACTTTCTAGTTGTAACAAGATGCTTGTGACTCTTTTACTAGGAAAATGAAAAATATATAAGCAAAAAAAATTGAGTTGTTTTGGAGTTAAAGCATTTTTCATATTCAATTGTTGGAGTGGAGTTGTGTAGGCTACATAATACCCTTTTGAATAAAAAAAAAAAAAAAACAACATTGCGGTGTGAGTCCTACTCCTACATTGGTATAATGGTTGTAATTTTTTTGATCTCATGTGTTTCACATACCAAATAGGTGGAATTAATGTCATCTCAACCCTTCAACACTATACTTAGATTATCCCCCTAATTAGTCTCTCATGCAAAACAAACTAACCAATGTTTCCGCTCTTTTAACACAAAAACACTCCCCATGCACCAACGTTCCCCAATGCCCTCCTTTCTTTTCTCCTCCTTCCCCTTCTTCTCCTCTTCTCCATTTTTCTCTCCTCCTCCTCTCTTCGTCCACTCTTTGGACGGGGAGCGGGCCTCAACCCACAAACACATTCATTCCCCATTGCCTCCATCAATATTAACATTGTGGCATTGACATTACTATTTTCCTCACCATGTCTCTTCTCCAGACGCCCTTCCAACTCCTGGAAGTTAATATCATCTCCGCACAGGACCTGGAACCCGTCTGTAGAAAAATGCGGACCTATGCCGTTGCATGGGTCCACCCGGAGCGGAAGCTCACCAGCCGGGTGGACACCATGGGCCACACCAACCCCACCTGGAACGACAAATTCGTCTTCCGTGTCAACGACTCGTTTCTTTACGGTGACACGTCAGCCGTCATGATTGAGATATACGCGCTGCATTGGTTCCGTGACATACACGTGGGTACGGTGCGCGTGATTGTCGGAAATCTCATTCCCCCTTCGGAACGGCCGAGCAATAATCATTACGTACAGGTGGGGATGCGGTTCGTCGCGCTTCAAGTTCGTCGGCAGTCAGGGCGACCGCAGGGGATTTTGAATATTGGGGTGGCGGTTCTTGATAGCTCCAAACGGAGTATGCCTCTGTATATGCATATGGGTTCCTCCGCCGTGGGGTATAAACATCTTATGGGCGAGGAGGACATCACGACGACTAATGGCAGCGCTGCTAATCATCAACAGAGGATTGTTAAGCCGGAGCTCCGACGTACGAAGAGCGATTCGAGTTCAATCATCGGGGTGGAGGCAATAGTTAGGAAGAAAAGGGCCTCCGTTGTGAATGGGTCCAATCTCGATGGTTCCATGATCAACGGTGGCTCAATGGTCCACGGTGTCGAACCAAAGCGGAAAGGCGGGTCAATGGTCAACGGCTTTGACCCGAGGCCAAAAGGAGGTTCTATGGTTAATGGCTTCGAACCGAGGCCGAAAGGAGGTTCTATGGTCAATGGCGGATGCATTACAACCGGGAAAGAATCGGAAAAGAAGAAGGTGAATCCCAGAGGGAGTTCCATGGTAAACGAGTCGGAAATGGCTAAACTGAAAGGTAAAAAGGGGAAGTCGGGTTCGATTGTCAATGGGTTGGAAGCCAGGGATTCGGGAAAAAAGCAGGGATCGTGGGTGACCCAGTCAGAAGTTGTGGATCCGCCGAAGAAGAATGGGTCGTTAGTTAATGGCGTGCAAGATTCCGATTATAAAAAGGCCGGAAAAACTGCGTCCAAGTCACCGCCGACAAAGTCACCGGTCAAGTCATTTGGGTTGGATCACGGGTCTCAAGATAAATTTCCCAAATACAACGGGTACGAATTCGGAGTTACCAAGAGGCCGGGAGCATTTTGGACAGACTCCGAACTGGGTCCGTCGCCTTCGGAGGTGGCAGCGAATGTAGCGAAGAATATGTACCAACGGATGGACGATGCAGAGAGCTCTATACTAGGGTGGAGCCTAGATGGAAGCGTAGAAGGTCTGGAATCCAAGCTGGATCGGTGGCGGTCGGAGATGCCGACGCTATATGACTACGGCGAGTACTCGAGCTTGGAGTCTAGTGTCCTTCCCGCCCCCAAGAAAAAAACACACAACCGGAGGCACACCGACAGTGGTGGCCTGTTTTCGTGTTTTAGTAACATCTGTGGATGTCAGTGCTCGATCGTAATAGGCGGCAGTCCCCCAGCCCAAGCCGGACAGAAAAAGAGCAATAAGTTTCGCCGGACACCCTCATCATTTGACAGCATGAGTTTTCGCTGAATTGAATTTGGTTCCGGGTTAAAAAACCGGTCAAACCCGGACTATTTGAGGGTTTAAACTTTTGGACATTGTGGAGAAGAGCTTTTTGAGAAAAAAAAAAAGAAGAAGAAAAGTGGGAATTTGTGGGTTCGGATTCGGGTTAAGCCGTTCTTCCCTCTTTATTTTCTTCAATTTTTGTATTTTTTTTATGTAATTAATGAAGAACAATTTGGGAAAAGAAGAAGAAGAAGAAGAAAAAAAAAAAAGAGATAGAAAAAGGAAGAATGAAATAATGGTGCAAATGGTGGGTGGATATTGCTTGAATCATATAAACATTTTTCATGATTCAAATACTCATAATGTTATTCTTCAAACTTCAAATGAAATTACTCATATTTTAAGTATTCTTAATTCAAAAATCATTATTTTTTTTTCATAAATCTAAGGTAACTTAAGGAGTTGAAAACTTTTTAGTTGTAAAAATGGCTTTCATTGTCAAGACCCCACCCACCATATTTTGGTTCTCCGGCCACATATATAACATAATACTATGGAGTTACAACTTTAATAATTTGTCTCCATCTCTGAACCCTTGATGTAACTCCAATTTGTAAATAATTGGAATCCTCTGATAAGTTTAGTTGGATATGCAGCTTTTTTTATTATTATTAATTTTTTAATATCCAATAATCACATTAGATCTTAATTAATTTAAAATCGAATTACGTTGAATCCCATTAGAAGAAAGTTCTTATAGTGTTTGTTTTTTTATTCATAATATTCGAATTTAGTATCTTATTTTAAAAAAAATCAAATTTCTTCTACTCAGACTAACAAATAATCCGTACATATATAGCTATTTTTTTTTAAAACATAATTAATTCGAGATAAGGTAGGAATTGAACCCCATGCCCTTTAAATGAGTATCCCTTTAACAATGCTGAGGTGGCCACTTAGATCACCTTGGGCTTTTCTACATATGGAGCTATTTGTTTTGTCTTTATAGTGAGTTTTTTTTTTTTTTTTGATAAGGATAATGATTAAAAATTAAAAATTAAATTAGTACTTTACTCATGGTAAGGTACAATAACTAATTAAGGTGTAATTCATCAACAATCTTTTTGAGTTGCAGTGAGCATTAATGAACCATAACAGTAATGCAATCTTTGTAGTGAGTTTTGATTTTAAATGTTTTTAGCCGTTCTGAAAGAATATTATCTTAATCTGTTCAATCAATCTTATTCTTTCACAAGACATGAGATTTCAGGGGCAGAATCTTTTATGACGTTTGAGACAGATGAACTTTGTAACTGTTACTATCATTGTGTTTTCCCTCTTCTGCTCTGCATGTAGAATTAATTTCTGTTCTTTCCCACGATGAAATTTTTTTTTCTTTTTTTTTATGGAATTTCTCTTGATGAAATTCCTGTTCTTTATATTTGTTAATTAGTTATTCAAGGGGATCAATCGTTCTCATGATCTCATCTTTTATTTTCTTTAGGCACTCTATGACTTGTGTAACGTATGGTAATATAGGGCATTTTTGGAGGAGCAACTAGAATTCTTATAACTTACTTATATGTCATTTAAAAGTAAAATTCAAGTTTTTTTCCTCCAAATTCTGAAATTGAAGGTCAAAAAAATTATGAGTTTTTCTAATTAAGGGTATTTTTTAATATAAATATACATAAAAAATATATAAAACTTGACCTTAATTTTAGTGTTAGTGTCAAACAAATAGATTTAATTACACAATTAATAAATTAAAAATTAATTGTTATTTTTTAATTTAAATTTATAATAAAAAAATATATTTATTAT